AGCAGATCAGAGATGTAAGTATCAACAAAATCTAATTATATAAAGTGTTTCAGTATCAGTGTTAAGTATTATTTATATATTATTATATTATTCATTTTTTCTTTTTTTTCAGTTTTCATTTTATTTTTGGTTTAAGTTTTAGTAATTTTGTTATGTGATTTTTTCATTTTTTTGTAGTATTAATATTTAATAATTTTAATATTTCTATATAAATTTCATCAGATAAACCACTCATGATGACCATTTAAACCCAGAAAACGCTATCAAACAATGAAGCATCTCAGTTCAATTTCTTAATCATTCTTGCTGCTATGATATCCTAATATGGATTAATAATAATAATGATTATTGAATAGTTTATGGAAGACCTGGTTTCAGCTGCAGTGCAGACTCTAGCCCACAGGGGGAATCTGCGAGCTTGGCAACCAGATCGCATGAGTGATGAGCCTCAAGGTGTTAAGCTTCTGGCAGAACAGTTGACCTCAGAATTAAAATCTCCAGGTTTGTAGCAGAAACAAACGTTGTTTTAAATTCAAATTCAAATTAATAGTATGAATGAAAAATTAAGTCTAAAATGAAGTGTATTTTTGAATAATGTGAATTAATCTGTAACCAACAGATATAGTGCACACCAAGAAATCTATTTAATATAATTAGTCCTTGTTGCTTCTATAGATCAGAATATGTGTGACATTCCTTGTCTGGAAGACTGGCTGTTCCGGATCCCAGCAATGGCCATGTTTTTGGAACTCCTGATTGGTGAGGGTCTAGGAGTTGGGTTGCCCTCCTGTCCTCCCCCAATTCTGTTGCCCCCGTGTCGGTATGCTCCCTGGAGTGACCTCCGTTGTCTCTTGAATATACCTCTTCTGATGTTCCTGTCACCTCAGCTGCCAGCTGGACACAGTGCCCCCTGGAGGCTGCTGTTCTCCACAAACATACACGGGGAAAGCTTCACCCGACTGGTGGGCAACTGCAAGAGTAAAGGTCCCACTGTCATGTTGGTAAAGGACACTAAGGGGCATATTTTCGGGGGCTTTGTGTCTCAAAGCTGGGAGGTCAAACCTCAGTTCCAAGGTGAGTTTGGAAAGAAGAAACTATAGACAGTGTTATGCATTACAATTAATGTTTCTTCTTCTTTTTGCACTAGGTGATTCCAGGTGCTTCCTCTTCTCCGTTTTTCCCTACATGAGAGTGTTCACCTGCACAGGCTATAACAATCATTACATGTACTTGAACCAGGGCCAGCAGACTTTGCCGAATGGCTTGGTGAGATCAATTTTAAAGGAGTAGTACACCCAAAAATGAAAATTTGCTGAAAATGTACTCGCCCTCAGGCCATCAAGTTGGTTTTTTTTTGGAACAGACTTGGAGAAATTGAGCATCTCATCACTTGCTCACCAATGGATCCTCTGCAGTGAATGCGTGCCGTCAGAATGAGAGTTCAAACATCTGATAAAGGCATCACAATAATCTACAAGTAATCCACACAACTCCAGTCCATCAAATTAATGTCTTGCAAAGTGAAAATCTGCAAGTTTGTAAGAAACAAATCCATCAAGGTGTTTTAACTTTCCATAATCCATTGTCCATAATAACACTTCCTCCAGTGAAAACAAAGTCCATCCCCTGTTGTCTTCTCACATCACAATACGCTGACATACTTGTTTAGCGGTTTTGGACTTTTTTCGTTTGGAAGCAGTGCATATTTCTCTCCTGATTCAGACGAGTTGACTTTTTCACTGGAGGAAGCAATATTACGGATAGAGCCCTCGTATTTTAGCCGAAATCAATGGTTTGACATTCAAAACATCTTAATGTGGGATTTGTTTGTTTCAAACATGCAGCTTTTCACTTCACAAGAAATAAAATGATGGACGGAGTCATGTGAATTACTTGTGGATTATTGTGATGTTCTTGTCAGCTGTTTGGACTCTCATTCTGATGGCACCCATTCAGCCATGCAATGCTCAGTTTCTCCAATTCTGTTCCAGTGAAGAAACTAATTCTACATTTTGGCTGGCCTGAGGGTGAGTACATTTTCAGAAAATTTTAATTTTTAGGTGAACTATTTCTTTAAACAGTGTTTAAGGCTTTACAACACTATGGAGCAAGACAAAATTTAGTTAACTGTCTTTTTAGGGTATGGGTGGTCAGCATGGCTATTTCGGTTTGTGGTTGGACTGCGATTTTGGACACGGCCATAGTAGGGCTCGACCACTCTGCACCACATATGGCAGTCCTCAGCTTTCAGGAGACGAGGACTTCAAACTGGACACCGTGGAGGTGTGGGGCGTTGGGCAGCCACCTGAAGAACAGGAGCAGGTCTGTGACAGTAGAGTTACTACAGTGAATTTTGTATTTTTGGGTTTAGCATTATGACTCAAAAAATTTTTGTGTTGACGTTCAGGATGAGAAGAAGAAAAGCATACTAGATGCAGATCCTGAAGTACAGGCCATGATGGAAATGACAGGGAAGACCCTGCACAGCCAAGGGCTCCGAGAACCTGAGGAGGATGAGGGATAGTGAAGAAGGGAAAAAAAGTTGAAGACAATGTGTAGATCAAACCAGCAGTATTTATTTTCAGTGTTTGGTTTGTGTTTGTGTTTTTACACTAGAATAGATATAGAAGAAACCACACTGTTATAAACCACTTACTGAGGTGTTTATACAGTGTCGTTTTTATGTTAATATGCAAAATCCAGGAGCTGGTTTCCTGCTTTCTGTGAAATAATTAAAATGTGCACACAAAGACCTTCTGTCAAATACTGTTAAACACTGATTATTGACAATGTGTGACTGAAGTCTACATTTCTCATCAAGTATCTGGATATTATATGGTTGCATTCTGTCTTGACTGATACATTTACTGTCTGTAAACTGGAAGATTCATTAATTAAATGAAAAATGAAAACATACTTATGAATCGTTTCCCCCAAATATTCATTTCTCCTAATGAAAAGGTAAAAGAAAGGTCAAGATTCCAACAGTTGTCTTAGAAAGATTCATCATGATATTACAAAACCATAATATTGTCGTAAAAAAGACAGTTTTGTTTCCGTCTGTTTGATTCATCACAATAATCATTTCTACTCTATTTTATGCGTTTTCAGAGTTCAGTCATTTTCATTCGATTCAGAGTGTGCAATGAACTTTAAACTGTAACTCTGATAGATGCTGTAGGCCTGCATCAATAAAATATGCAGATTACTCTTTATTGTTTGCTGCTTAGGGTGTTTTGAGTTATTATTCATATTATGTAACCACTAACAATCCTATATCAGCCTACAACATCAATAAGCGAATCATTAGTGAAACCCCTTTGGTATATAGCAATTGAGCTTTTTCAGGAGGAAGCGAGTTATATTTTACAGTAAGTTATCATGGTAATATTTTGTAGTTTTCGCGTACACTTGTTATAGATGAAACCCAACTGCCTCTTCTCGTCTGTGAGCTTATGCTTTCTGAATGCAAATGAACAATGGAATGCACTGGGTAAGGAAAGCACAGGACTTGAATACGAAATTTACTTTATAGTCTAGAATGAACTTTAAACTGTAACTCTGATAGATGCTGTAGGCCTGCATCAATAAAATATGCAGATTACTCTTTATTGTTTGCTGCTTAGGGTGTTTTAAGTTATTATTCATATTATGTAACCACTAACAATCCTATATCAGCCTACAACATCAATAAGCGAATCATTAGTGAAACCCCTTTGGTATATAGCTATTGAGCTTTTTCAGGAGGAAGCGAGTTATATTTTACAGTAAGTTATCATGGTAATATTTTGTAGTTTTCGCGTACACTTGTTATAGATGAAACCCAACTGCCTCTTCTCGTCTGTGAGCTTATCATGCTTTCTGAATGCAAATGAACAATGGAATGCACTGGGTAAGGAAAGCACAGGACTTGAATACGAAATTTACTTTATAGTCCGCGGAAGCCTTTTCTTATTCGCGTGTTTAAAGAAATAAACTTTTGGGTACTCTCACACATGCATCCTCACACACGCATCCTCATACTCACACACACATCCTCACACACACATCCTCACACTCGCACACTCACATACACACATCCTCACACACGCATCCTCACACTCGCACACTCACATACACACGTCCTCACACATGCATCCTCATACTCACACTCTCTCACATACACACACTCTCACACATGCATCCTCACACACGCATCCTCATACTCACACACTCTTACATACACACACTCACACACATCCTCACACACACATCCTCACACACTCACACACACAGAGATATCTCTAATCCGATTTCTTACTAGTGCAATTATAATTGCAGATATCTCTAATTGTCATTGTGACTAGTCGAATTATAATTATGACTCGTCAAAATACAATTGTTCCTATCTTAAATTATATTTATGGATAGTCAAAACCAACTTTTAAATGCTAAAACGGCTTGCCATAATAAACAGGTGCTTTCGTTTTCATGTCACCTCAAACTTTATTTAAAGTATGCTTATATTTTTAGACTCAAAACTGCTTTTGGGCATTCAGTTTGCATTCAGAGTCAAACATTTAGTTTGACAGAGTCATTAAAAGGTTATGTTACAGAATGCAATACACTAGAGAGAAAGACGTGAGGTCATGATGACGTCGACAATGGGTCTTTCATCAACCTGAACCTCAACCTGAACCTGAACCTGAACCTGAACCTGAACCCGTCATTGAAATAAACGCTTTTCCTGCATCAAGATGTCGCGTTTTTGGTACATTTCACATTTGCACTAGGGTACAAAAGTTGGACAGAGAAATGCACACGCGCCCTCTCTTCCCTGGGGATTTTGCATAGATAATTTTGCTTCCGGATTTTTTTTTCTTTTTTTTTCTTTTTTCATTCTTACAACGTTCTCTTCACTTCCTTGTTTAGCGAATAGAGGAACTGACCACATTGTGACTAGCCTGATCATAGATTTTTATTTTATTTTATTTTTTAAATTCTTCATTAGGCTATTTTTTATTTTTAAAAATGAGAATTAGTTTGATTACAGGAGGTGGTTTTCGACCTGGTCATTGATTTTCTTCTCTAAACTTGGGTAAGTATTTTTTATTTATTTGGATATTTACATAACGGGGTGTTACAGTAGTTGTTTATGCATGTATACATTTAATTTAAGGGCTTACATTTTTTATTAAAAATACAGTGATCAAGTTTAAGGACTTTTATAAAACTAAAGGAGTCTCTATTCATTCTTAATGGGAAAACCGTTACATCAAAGCTACATCTGCAAAAAGATGCACAGTAAATAATGTGCTAAATTCTGTACAGTTTCAGTGGTCTACAAAAAAAGTGAATTCTGCAAGAGCAGGTGTGCCTGCCTCCACAGCCTCTTATTGTTAATGAAAACAATTACGTATTGTACTTACAGTTAAGACAAGCTCGGATGTGGTAGATTCATTTTCTTACGCTGCAGAGCAACAGATCTTTGCTTGTTCTTGTCTCATGTTTATTTATGTCAACCTACATTGATTTTTTTTGGTTTATTATTGAGAGTTTTATCTTGGTGTTTGTTTAAATGTCTGGAAAGAGAGTGGTTTCTCTGTCTTGTTCACACAGAAAGCTCAAAATGGAAGAATGGAGGGTGTGGGGGGATTTACAAAGGTTTCGGAGTGGAAACCACATTGAGTTTACTGGGTTAATATTTTACTTTTAAAGAGGGACTTGCTTTGGGACACTTCCACCGTACTCTGCTACTCGTTTGCAATGCAAATATTGGCTTCTATGGGGAACCAGACATGAAACATCTATTTTGCTTGCCATGGTTCAACAGTTTGGAAAACTGACTCTAAAAGGTGCACTGTTTAGTCACAGATAACTGCTTGTCATATTCCTCTTTAGGTGGTGATCATTTCTATTATCAGAGCTGGCATGTCACACGCATGGTCGGGAAATTACAGCATTGATGTTGCCTTTCTGTTGTTCTGAGTGGACAACTCAAACGGCTTCAGTAAATGTCTTTGTTGCTACCTATGAACAGTTTCTGTGTAATCCTTCAAATATCTTCCAAGCTAAAAATGAAAATTCTGTCTTTAATTGCTCAGCCTCATGTCGTTCCAAACTTGTATGACTTTCTTTCATCTGTAGAACACAAAAATTATATTATAAAGAATGTTTCAACAATTTTGTCCATGTAATGAAAGTCACTGTGCTCCAAAACACTGAATGGACAATGAAAACACAGACAGAAAGTCATACATATTTTGAAACCATATGAAGATGAGTAAATAATGACAGAAGTTTCATGTCTGGGTGAACTGTTTATTTAATGACTTATTTGATCCATGCAGTATCTTAAATATTTGAATATGAATTAGACCACCATGTTTTGATATTCAAAGTACAGACATTTTTTGCCATTCGGTTGTAAATAAAGGGAACCTGTCAGATAAGTAACAACGTAAGTGTCATGAGACTACAAGTGTACCTGCTGCCACACAGATTGCAATAAGTAACTTCCTGTGGACGTTTGTATTTGTCAGTGTGCGGCCAAAGGCAGTGATGGCGGGCCGCATTCAGCAGGGAGACCTGACCGAGTACAAGAAGAGTCTCATTAAGCGGGACTTGGAGATGGGGATAGTGATGACCGTGTACAGACAGAGGATGGAGAGGCTTACTGTGCAGGTCATCATGGAGACACGTCAGGTGGCCTGGACGCGCACCGCCAACAAGACAGAAGGAGTGTGTGAGTGTCTTCCCTCGAGCTCATTTACACTTAAAGCTGCAGTTTCGGACTGCAGTTTTAAATTTGCATTTAAGCTGTTTGTTTTCATCTGTATGATGGCCTTGGTGTTTTTTAGTGTCATGCTTTTGCATTTAAGCTTCAGGAACTTTAGGATTAAAGTTAACTGGGCAATTAAAAACAGTATTTTATTATTTAAAAGTGATTTTTCACTTTGGAAGTTACAAATACGTGGCCATACGAAGTGGCTTTGCATGATATCAAACCAAGTGGCTTTTGCATTAACATTTATTCATTTAGCGGGTGATATTATCCAAAGCAATAAATGAGGATCATCACAAAATGTATCGACAATATTTGCAGTACACAATGCTTTCAAGGTTTAATGTACTGTATATACTCAATTTATATTTTAAAGCAATGTTTATTTTAAAGGGAAAAACATGTTAAAGTGGGTTTACTTTTGATTTTTTTGTAGGTTATTGTTTTTACAGAAATTTGAATGATTTACATTATCGGTCAAAAGTTTGGGATTGATGATAATTTAAATTTTTTTTGAAAATGACTCTTATGCTCACCAAGAATGCATTGATTTGATGCAACAAAAATACAATAAAAAAACAGAAATATTGTGAAATGTTAAATTGCAATTAATTTTAATATAAGTAACATTTCTTATTTTTATCAGTCAGAAGGTGTGATGCTTAATATTTTTGTGGAAAACTTTGACTTTTTAAAAAACAATTTTGATAAATAAAAAGTTAAATAAATAATAAAAAAATAATAAAAATCATCTCACATATAACAGGGGATAGTGAGATGAACTGACAATCGTATATTAACATTTTAGGTTGATCTGTGCAATAACAGATAGCTTATTTCAGACAGTAATCATGGGCTGTGTCTCAAAATCAAGTGAGCTACTTTGCTGTCTTAATGTTTCCATGGGCAGCAACAATTCTAACACATATGGTACCATGATCTTGTAGGAGAACACTTCTTGGGTGTGACTGTTTGGTGGTTGCCAGTAATTATGGGAGACTGTAGTGCCATCACACTTATCTCAACATGTTTCTCACCTTCAAAAAGTGCAACTCACAGTTTCTCTTTTAGTTCCTACATACTTTCTTGGCAACTTTTCTATTCTTCTCCATCTAATCTTTCCACAGTTTCTTTTATACATGACTAGTGCATTTTATACTGTGTATACTCTTACTTTTGCTGGTTATGACAACATCATGCACCTTATCATGTGTTTAAGATATTCATATAGTGACATCAATTTATGAATACAAACACCTGCCCAGAAGAATTATCTGTTTTTTTATAAGATCTGGGCCAGCGGTATTTTCAGTTTTCATTTTAAGTTTAATTGAAGTTAATAATTTTGTTATTAGTTTTTTCATATTTCTATTTAGCTTAAATTTATTTTTTATTTAAGTTCAGTTACAGTTTAGTTTCAGTAATTTTGGTGCCTCAAATTATTTTGTTGAAGCACTAAAATTATATTATTTTATTTCAGTTAGTGGCCACTTAGGCAACATTTTAAGTTTTTTTGTTTAACTTTTTCCTCTGTTTATAATTTATTTGATTTTAGTTTTAGCTTTATTTAGAATAACAAAAATTGTTATTATTTGTAATAATTTTAGTTCACAATGACATCACTAATCCGGGCTGATGAATACTCTCAGTTTATCTGAGTACGTGTATGTTTATGTTATATGTTGCGATCTCATTTTTGCAGTGGACCTTTTTGAGATCCGGGAAGTACGACCAGGAAAAAACTCCAAAGACTTTGATCGATTCAAGGACAGCAAGGATAAATATACAGACCCGACCTCATGCTTTACTATATTCTATGGCTCTCAGTTTGTTCTCAACACTCTCAGTCTGGGGGGTATGTGTGTCTTTTTATACACATTACATGTTCTAACTCTAATTAAATCACTTTATTGTCATTCCACCATATGCCCAAGTGTAATATGCAATATGCACAATGTATAGAATAAAGAAGATATAAAATTTAGTAGGCACAGCTGGCATAACGTTCATTATGAGATATGAATATATATAATGTGTGATGTGCGTGTAAGAATTATACTGTAGCATGTGACTCTAAAAAATGCTGGGTTGTTTCAACCCAACTTTGGGTCAAATATGGACTAACACAACCGTTGGTGTGATAAGGTTCAAGAGGGTCGGCGGACTGGGACGCGAGTTTTTATTAAAGTCTCTCAGTAAGTACAACAGAACAAGGCGCTCACTGCGCATTCAAACTCTCTCCGTCAATAACTCAGAATATAGCTCTACATATGCTTTTCTCCGGTGGCCCGGGTGGCCCGGGTTCCCAGTCAGTCTCTCTCTGCCTTCCATGCTCCAGGTGACCCCTTTTATCCGGTCTCTCCACACCAATTACTAAAACGAGACACAGGTGATTATCATTTGCGCTTGACCTACTTACGCACCGCTCGTCTCCTGCCTCTCTCTCCCGGTGCAGACCTCACTGAACCACGCCCCCCTCCCCACAGTTGGGTTACATTTTTACATAAAATTTTTAACCCAAAAGTTGGGTTAGTCCATATTTCACCCAAAGTTGGGTTGAAACAACCCAGCATTTTTTAGAGGGTACTGTAAGTACTATAATAGACTATTCAAGGAGTCACTTCCTCTCTTTCAATATGTTTTAAATTCTTTTGATATAAAACCGCATTTTGCTTTCCTGTGTTGATGGAGATTTTATTCTTTGTCTGGTTAAAAAATGACTGACAAAGGAAGAATATGATGGGTTCCTAAAATAATCTGAAGAGAAAAAGCTAGCTGCATTGTTTTTAGCGCTGATAGCATTTGCTGTTCCACAGCTGATTCAGTGGAGGATGCAGAGAAATGGCTGACAGGACTAGAGTTACTCAGACAAGAAACACTGGTCCCCACCGTGACACGAGTCCACATGAGTCTGTGTGTATTCAGGTTTAAGTCCCCACCAGAATAGAAAAACAGGTACACACATCACACACACACTGTGTACCTTGTGTATCCATAAACCGTAACACAAATCATGTGTTTGTTTCATTCTCTGTTTTTCCCTCTACTGTAGTTGGCTGAGGAAGCAGATGTACTCGGTTGATCAAACAAAGAAAAACAGGTTCTCCTCTTTCTCTTTCACCTTCATCTCAACCAGTCTCACTTTTGTTTCTGTCTCACCTCGTTATTGCTCCTTTTCTCTCTCTCACAGCATCACCCTGAAAGAGCTCAAGTCTCTTTTGCCACAGATGAACTTTAAAGCACCAGGTGGACGTTTTTTGAAGGACAGAATTGGGGTATGAATGACAAACTGAGTACACATTATCTTGACGGAAGTATATGCTTTGCATCATATGGAAAACTTTATGGCAGCTAAGTAGGAACATTTCCTCTCCTAAAGTTTTGCAGATGATGATCTGTGTTTTCAATTTTCTTGTTTTAAGACGTGTAGTAAATGGCTCTAATTGCTCTGAAAGTGTCAACTTTATATTTTAAGACGGTGGGAGCAAAGAAAGAAGTTCTGGATTTTGAGCAATTTCACAAATTCTACAATCTATTGATGTTTGAAAACCAAAAGATGGTAAGTGTGCAGTTTAGTTGTGCTGAATAAAATGCGCTTTATATACACTGCCGTTCAAAGGTTTGGGATCAGTAAGATTATTTTAAGATGTATGAAGTAAAAATAGTAATATTGTAAATTATATTGCCATTTTAACTGTAATACATATTTTTTCAGCATTCTTTGATGAATAGGAAGTTCAGTAGGAAGGAACAGGATTGTAAAATGTAAAAGTCTTTACTTTTCTAGCATCATCTATAGTGTATGTTGTTTGTCATTTTGTCAGATTCTAGACGAGTTTAAAAACGAGTCGTGTGCTTTCATCATGGGGTAAGAAACGGCCAAACATTATTTTGATTGAAGCAGTTCTTTAAATGTGTGTCATGCTAATGTTCTCATTCTTATTGAGTGTCTGGTATGTTTTTCTCTGCAGTAATGGTGATCAGCCTATTCAACTCTGCGATTTTCAAAGATTCCTTTTATTTCATCAAAGAGTAAGACTTTTTGCTCATCCATTCATCTGATCATATATATATATATATATATATATATATATAGTCTATTCCAGTCAAATATATCTATTTAATTTAAATACTATTTCAAACACTTAGTTTCAAACAAACTGTGAATTTATTTCATAGGAGACTTGGGCCAACAATCTGAATCAAGTCCGAGAGCTTATGACCATCTTCATCGATGACACCATGAGGAAGACCAACGATCCAGCCTTTACCGTTGAAGAGGTACAGGTTATAGAGATCTGTGTACTGTATGTTTACTTTAAGTGATGTGTTTCGAGAGCTTTCTCTCTGTCTTTCTAGTTCCTCAGTTTTCTCTTCTCCAAAGAGAACTCTATTTGGGATGAGAAGTTCTCTGAGATTTGCCCACTGGACCTGAACAATCCTCTGTCACACTACTGGATCAACTCTTCTCACAACACGTCAGTGCTGTAGTTCTTCATGCTCCTAACACACATGCAGCAGCTTCTCCTCTTCATGATGAACTTCCTGTGCTACTTCATGTGTTTTGCTTTTATTCACAGATATTTGACTGGAGATCAACTGCGCAGTGAGTCCTCAACAGAAGCTTATGTGCGCTGCCTGAGGCTGGGTTGCCGCTGTATTGAGTGTCAGTGAACCATACCCTCATTTTTTAATAAATATTTTTTAATACTCTTTTAAAGGAATGCATGTCCTTTTCTACTTCATTTTATGCATTGATATTGCAGTGACAAAATTGTTCTGAAATCAATGGGAGTCAGTCTGATGACCTGAATGTTTCTTTTTTCCAATGCAGTGGACTGCTGGAATGGTCCAGAAGAACCTGTCATATACCATGGACGTACCATGACCTCCAAGATAAAGTTTAAGGATGTGGTGAAGGCCATCAATGATCATGCTTTTGCAACGTCTGAGTTAGTCATTAACAACACACACATTTATTTGTGAGGTTTTGTAAAATACATTTCGCCTAACAGAGGGAACGTCACTCTGTTAGGCGAAATTAATTTTACGAAACCTTTCAAAAACATATCAGGGTCATAATCCGTCCCAAAATGAAAATAAAAAAGCAGTTACATTTTGTATAAAAAAGAAAATCAAACCTATTTTCGGAACACAAATATATATTATTTTGTAGTAGTACCTCTAAATTTGCATTACTGCCACATGAAAAAATAATAATGAACAATGATATATTATTTTAAATATAAAATGTCATACAGCATGGATGATATTTGTTGTACTACCTTTAATTGATGGTAATTTTTTTTTTTTCAGATTCACTAAAGTAATCTAATGAGAATGCCATTGAGAATATTTGTAATTTGCAACAAAATCTCAAAAGTAAAACATCTGGATACATTACGATAATAAGAATTTTGGGTTAAAATGTGCCTATTTATAATGAGAATACTGTCATAATCCATAAAAATCTAAATGGTCCTTAAAATAGCTTTCATTGTTTTATGCGAAATTTCATTTCTTGTTTTTTTGTTTTGATTTTGAGATTAAATGTGACCTGTACATGTTTTTTTTTTAAAGTTTCTTCACTTTGTCTACTTTTTTTTGTTATACTTGTATAAGTAATTTTTAAAATCAAAATAATTAAAAATGAAATTGATGCATCTGGAAATGTGTAGTATTTTGAACTAGGTTTATGAACATGTCACTTTTTGCAGGTATCCTGTGGTGCTGTCTATAGAAGAACACTGTGACGTCAAGCAACAGAAAATGATGGCTCAGGTGTTCAAAGATGTTTTCCAAGACAAGCTCCTGACCGAGCTGCTGGAACCAGAAGCGGAACAACTGCCGTCACCAACCCAACTGAAGGGCAAGATCATCATCAAGGTAGAAAAGCTTCACTGGAAAATTCTGCAATGTCTTTGATTTTTACAGTGCAATCCAAAGCCATGCAATCTCACTTTTTCATGCAGCACAAGAAACTGAATATTGATGAGACCTTTAATAAAAAGGACCTACGGAAAGGAGATAAGCAGGGAGAGCTCTTCATCTGGGATCCAATCGATGAGGTGCCAAAGTCCAGTGAACATTGTCACGGCTTGTGTGATTTTCATCTTATTCCAGTTTCCTTACTTGATTATGATTGTAATTTCTGTGTCTCCATGTTCAGAGATGGTACAAGCACTACTGCGTGATCGGGAATAAGACATTGTATTATGCTGAGGAGAATGAACTAGAGGAGGATGTTGGAAAGGTGAATCACTGAGACTCTATTTTAGAATGAGATTCACTTGGAAAATGCCAAAAATTAAGGGCATTAACTGTAATTCAAATGTATCACCTCTCATCTCAGGGTGGTACAGAGCTTCATCAGTCAGAGCCCTGGTTTCACGGGCGGATGTCAGAGGGCAGACAGACAGCCGAGAGACTGCTGCAGGAATATTGTGCAGATTCGGGTGGAGTTGACGGGACATTTCTGGTGCGGGCGAGTGGCACCTACGTCAATGATTGCACCCTCTCATTCTGGTAATGTAGGCCTGCTCTTATACTCTTCAGAGAGGGAGGAGGGATGGTTTTCCATTTCGTTTTTTCTCTCCATTTTATTTATTGACTTTAATTTAGTCTTTTCAAATGGAAGAAATAGGGGAAAAAGCAGAATATGCCATTTATATGGGTCAGTCTTGCTATACAGTACATTTTCATGTCTTGTCAAACTGTATGTTTTATTATATTGAATAATATAGAATGAATCTGGCGATTTGTTAAAGATTGGAATCAAAATTATATTAGTGACATTGCTTATTTATGCAATTAGTACTGCTACTTAGTAATATTTAGCACAATTTCACAACTATGTGAATGTGGGGTACATTTTTAATAATTTTACTACTTTAGTTTGAGTGGCAAAAATGTTCCTGTGGCAAAAAGTTTTTTTCTTAAAGACCCATTTTTCTTAACCACACGAGGATTGACATAATATTTGATGGGGGAAAACAATGGATTAAATTCATTTAAAAAAATATTCCATCCTATCTGATTAAAAATACAGAAATCAGTATGATAATACAGGTGCATATCAATAAATTAGAATGTCGTGGAAAAGTTCATTTATTTCAGTTAAAAAAAAATGCATATGGATATGCTAATTTAAATAAGTCATATATTTCAGTAATTTCTACTCTATTAATTTTATTTGAGCTTGTCCCTGTGGTAAACAGTTTTTTCTTAATTTGTGATATGACATTATCACATAGGAAGTGACATAATATTGGGTGGGCAACACAACAATACAAACCTCATTACATTTTAGCATTGAATTTGATTCATTCTTTTTTTAATTTAAAATATGTATGATAATATCAAGTATGATTATCAACATTTCAAAGATGGATGAATAAAATATCACAATTAACGTCAAGTTGACACTCTCTTGTAAGTGAACTGCCTTTTAAATTTAATTTAAATTATATTAATATAATTTAATTTATATAATTAGATTTAAATAAGTTATGTATTACTGTAGTTTCTACCATATTGAGTTAGCTACTTTAGTTTAAACAATTCCCGTTTGTATAAAACTTTTTTTTTTTAATAATGACATCTTCCAGGAAGTGATTCTTAATTCCTCATTGACCAAAATGGCTACCCTCAGCTCTTTATGTCCATCCTTGATTTTAGTTTTCTTTCAGTTTTATAAATAATCAAGTCATAAATAATAAATTTCCATGCCTGAGGTCGACTAGCTTCTGAAAGAAATACCATTTCATTACAATACATTTTTATAGGTTTCAGAGAGTGCTGCTTAGCAAGAATGATCCATATGATTCATGTTAATATATATATATTTATGTATTTTGTTCATCACAAATGCACGGAAATGCACATTTAAGTAAATTCCCAGTGTGGTCCTTACAGGCGCGGTGGACGAGTTCAACATTGTCGAATCCGTTCCTGCTTGGAAGGAGGCCACACTGTCTATTTCCTCACAGACAACCTGCACTTCCCCAGTGTGTACGTGCTTATCCAGTATTACAGAGACAACCTTCTCCGCTGTCAGGATTTTAACCTGCGCCTCACTGAATTAGTGCCTCAACCAGACCAGCACCTGCAAGAAGGGTAAGTCAATACTTGCCACACACAAACAAACTTCATGGTGTTTACCACATCCCGGCCAGCAGGGCTGTAGAAAACCACATAGACGGCTTCTTTTAACGCCCACGAGCATCTGCAGACACACCGTAGACGTGAAACTGTGGTTTTGTCTTCAGTTGGTTTTACAGTAACTTGAGTCGGGGAGAGGCGGAGGACTATCTCATGAGGATCCCTCGAGATGGAGCCTTCCTCATCAGACAGAGAGAAGATTCAGACTCTTACGCCATCACCTTCAGGTGCTACTCTGTTTTTTTTTTTCTCCTGGAGAAAAAGTAGAAACAAATTTTCACTCAGGAATTTTGAATCCAAATCAATTAAAAAGAAACGTCAAGTAAAACATTTAATTAAATGTGAAATTTTGAAGTAGAAAACTTGTATTTTCTTGTAAAACATCTTTGTTTTGTTTACAGTATCCTTTTTTACAGTGTAACAGTGCTTGCTAAGATTGCTTTTTAAAACATAACCTATAGTAATAAACTCAAATGCTTAAGTTCTCCGTCTACATCATATTTTGAATAATGTGGTTTGTTGAGGAGAGATGTGCTATGTTTTATAAGTGATTGAACCTATGGTTTTCATCTGGTAGATGAAAAAACAGACAAAAAATGATGATGTGGATCATGGGATGGTTCCTGAACCATTTATTATTTGGATAAAGAGAAAAAATTGTGCGTGTATTTTATGTGCTGAAACTCAAATGTGAAAGGTCATGTTTCATCTAAACATCAATATTTGTGAGATTTATTTTACCTGAACAGATTTAAGTTTAAAAGATAGATGTTTTTTGCCACTGCATTGCACTGTCAATGATTTGTGAATTTAAGATGGAAATGAAATGTTCTTATGCACATTTCTTAATGGGAGATTTGTGGTATTTTATTTAGATATATAGATATATATTTAGTTACACACACACACACACACACACACACACACACACACATATATATGTAAATTATTTTCTAGAAAAAAAAATTGCCTGAAGACTCACAATAGCTTGGTGGTGGTGGTGTTTTTGTTATTTAATGTAATAATGATTGTAATTCATAGAGTTTATTTTTTTTTATGGGTGCTGAAACAGAGGTGAAGGGATTGTGAAGCACTGTCGGATACACAAAGAGGGATCTATGTATGTGCTGGGCACCTCCAGCGAATTTGAGAGCCTGCTGGAATTGGTGGACTATTTCCGAAAGAAACCACTGTATCGAAAGATCAAATTGCGCTACCCGGTCACACCAGAACTGGTGGAACGCTTCAGTTCGGTAAGTAATAAAGCAACATAAAAATAACTCTATTTCAGGGCAAAGCAGACAAGATACTTCTTTTCTAGAGTTCACTTAAAACATTGCCAACTGCGGGCTGTACTGAACACTGTGCAATGATTGTACAAAAGTTTGTCTTTGTGTGCAGCATCTGTACACACTCTTCAAAGTGAACAAGGGCATGTGCACCTCTTCCTTTGCTAAGGCCACAGTTTGCATGTTACACTTGCATGCTTTCATCTCTAGTAGCTCTGTTGGTCTCTTCTCCTTTTTCCAATCAAAGTTCAGGCCAAAGGTTCTGATTTAGCAGAAGTATAATATGCTCTAAAGTGCCATTGTATGATATAAATGTCTTTTTATTTAGAATTTCTTTCACTTCTTGAGGCTTTGCTAACGTATTTTTGCCCTCTTCCTGTGGCTAGTGTTACACGTTTATGCATCCTCCCACCACAAAGCACATTTCCCCAGTGTCACAGCCTGAAAGAGCGACTAACCTAAATAAGGACCTTAATTGCTTGAACATGATGTCTGATTAATGTATTTATTTTTATTTTTTTTTCATTTTACACTAATTTTAAAAGAAGCATTTTATGTGAACCACGACTGCATTTGATCAAAAACACAATAGCTGTTTTCTAAATCTAAACGTATAGGTTTTGCTTGTTTTAAGTCTGATGTGCAGGGGAGAAAAGCCTAAGAAATGTTTTATGTCTTTTCAGATAACCATATCTGCTTCACTTTATGATTCTAAACAGTACGTGGAGGCCAACGAGATAGAGCCGTCTCTGGTAAGCACTTTGAAGAGCAAACACAGCGCCTGCGTGTTAGCATGCGCAAGAGGTCATCTCGTGTGGGCTGGGGAGGAAGTGGTGGCGCTGGCTATCTCTTTCTCTCACGTAGGAAACTGATCGCCTCGAAAGAGGAAATGCAGCCTGGCTAAACGAGCAATGTCATGTTTAGTGTGTATGCCATAAATGCTTCATGTTTCTAGCTCGAACGTAATTCACAAATTCCCTTTAAAGAAAATTTATCTTAGTCTTCACACTCTTTGAACCGCTGAAGGCTTGTGTGGGTTGCCTCAGTGCTGTTGCAGATTTGTAACAAGATTGAACTCATTTTGATGTGTTGCAGCCCCATAGCACGGTGAAGGCCCTCTATGACTATAGGGCCATGCGGTCAGATGAGCTCACTTTTTATAAGGGCACTTTGATCCATAATGTGACCAAGGAGGCAAATGGATGGTGAGATTCTTTGCAAATGTGTAGATAATAAGCAATAATAGCTATTTACCCTTGCAATAAAAAAAGAAGCTGTGGTGGTGTCATGGTATACAGTGAGAGCATCAAATGATGATACTGAAAGATTACCATATAAAGTTACCTCAGTATTTACATAGCACTTCAAGGTACACTACTGATCAGGAGTTTGGGGTCAGTAAGGTTTTTAATGTATTTTGTACATTCATTTGATTAAAAATACAGTAAAAAAAAATGGGAATGTTGTGAAATATTGTTACAATTTAAAGATCTTACTGAGGTCATATCATTCACTTATTACACTATCAGGCATTACAAAAACCATGGGGTGATTTTAATTGCTTAAATTTTGATAAACCAACATGTAATTTCTCCATCTATCTGCTGATCCCAACAGGTGGAAAGGAGACTATGGTGGAAAACTGCAGAAATATTTCCCTTCAAATTATGTAGAAGAAGTTGCCGATGCATCTGAGGCCAATTACCAAGTAAAGAATATAACAAATGTGTATATTTGACATCACAGATATGTCATTCAGTGCTAGTTAGTACAGTATTTTGCATGCTTATTTACTTAAATACATAGAGAATATCTATATTCAAAACATAGAATGTCTTTAAGATTAGATGTTCTCTTTCAGGGCGATGAGGAAAATCCATTAGGCAACTTATGTAAAGGAATAATGAACATCTCGAAGTGTACTGTCGGTAAGATTATTTATCTTCTGAGTCACCTGAACTCCTGTACATTACATGTTTTAATAATGGTATTTTGCACTCATTTTGCCGTTTCCAGTGCGTTCAGCCAAATACGGCAGGCCTGTGGTGGTGACGCTGCAGGATAAGGAGAATAAAGCGATGCCGTTTGATTTGGCCACTGAGACCACCGAGGAGCTGTACGAGTGGTATCAGGTGGCCTGGGACATCACACAGAGAGAGGAAAACCGAGAGTTTGAGGTCTGTCTCACACGCTTAGACTGTTGACTTGTCCTAAATAGGGCAAACTGGGGCTAGTTGTCACAACAGGGAAGTTCTCACAAGGTTTTGAGTCACTCGTCCTGTAAATATAGTTGAAGCCAGACTTCAGTGGGTGTTTAAATGCTAGGTGTAGCCCTAGATTTAACCATTGTCATTTTAAGTATACAGTGAAGTACTTCAAATATAATGTTGGGGTGGTGTTTATAAATGTTTACAATATTGCAGAAAAAAAAGCAAAAGGAGGTTGAGGATAGAGAAGAGGTGGCCAGCGAGATGTCTGAACTGGTCGTTTACTGCCAGCCTCGCAGCAAAGACAAAGACCGCTTTGGTATGACTAATATAATAATAATAAATATGAATTTATACTACCGTTCAAAAAATAAATGAATACTTTTATTCACCAAGGATGCATTAAACTGATCAAAAGTGACAGAAAAGACATTAAAATAATTTTTCAAATAAATAATGTTCTTTTGAATCCTCAAAATACTATACAGTAACAGTTTGCACAAAAATATTAAGCAGCACAACTGTTTTCAACATTGTTGAAAAACGATGATAAGAAATAAGTAATTTCTGCTAAAAAAAAATCAGCTTTGCTATCATAGGAATAAATGACATTTAAAAATATATTAAAACGATTAAAATGTTTAAAAAACAATTATTTTAAATTGTAATAATATTTCATAATATTATTGTTTTTCTGTATTTTTGACCAAATATTTGCGACGCAGCATTATTTTAGCATAACTGAGATACTATTACAGATTTTATTCATTTGATTTATTTTTGTGTTTTCATTTTAATTTTATTTAAAGTTTTTTCAAAAAGTTTTTTATGTTAGTTGTAGTTAACTAAATTAATCTTGGTAAGAAGTGGGAAAAGTAAGGAGAAAAAAGGCTTCTGGACTGCTTTTTTTTCAGTCATTACAATCTTATTTAAAATGATTTGGATTATTCAATCAGAATTTATTCACATAAACAGAAAAAGATTTACACACACACACACAGTCTGGTCAGCTTTCCTTGTGGGGACTCTCCATAGGCGTAATGGTTTTTCTACTGTACAGACCGTATATTCTTTTGCCCTACTCCAACCCTACCCCTAAACCCCTCACAGGAAACTTTCTGCATTTTTAGATTTTCAAAAAACTTAATTCTGTACGATTTATAAGCGTTTGTACCCGCGGGGACCACAATTTAGGTCCCCACCATGACACGAGTCCCCATGAGTCTGTGTGTATTCAGGTTTAAGTCCCCACCAGGATATATAAACCAGTACACACACACACACACACACATATATATAGTGTTTAACAGTTTTCATATTTTCTTTTTTCATACTTATTCATATATATGATCAAATTGCATTTTTTTTATATATACAGTATATATATATATATATATATATATATATATATGTATGTGTATATATGTGTGTGTGTGATTTATATATTTATATTTTATTATAATAATTTTTAAAGTCATTTAAAATTTTACAAAATGCATTATTATATTTTTTTATTATTATCTTTGGCCTCTTAAAAACAGGGCAGTCACTGAAGTATTTTCTGTAGAGATTTAGTAAGTAAATAAATAAATGTGTCCTCAGATGATAACGGATTGAACCCTATATGGCTCGGGCCGAACTATCAGCCTTCGGAGGCATTTACTTTCAGCGTGTATGAACCAGACCTCACCTTTCTGCGCTTTGTGGTCTTTGAGGAGGACATGTTCTCTGATCCCAACTTCCTGGCCCAGGCTACGTTCCCTGTGAAAGCTGTTCGCTCAGGTAAGTCTATCAGCTTCATTCAATTATTGTTTTGTGAAACATTGTGCAAATGAAAGCAGATTTAAGTACAAATACTGAGCTGCTGCTTTCACAGGGTACAGATCAGTCCCTTTAAAGAATGGCTTTAGTGAAAACCTGGAGCTGGCATCTCTACTGGTGTATGTTGATATACAGCAGGTGGAGGTAAGAAACGTCTTTTAAAACAGACTTTTTGTTGATTATGTAATGAATTATTTTAAGAAAAGAATCTCATTTTATTTTATTGAGAATATTATGTTAGTGTAATGGAAATCCCCTGTCATATCTGACTTGTTTCTTCAGAAAGCGCAGGAGGAACTTTACTCCTCCTCGAAACAGTTGCAAAAGAAGCAGGCGGAGTTAAGCAACGAGTTCTGTCTCTACAACTCTCACTCCAACCTGCAGCGCAGTGCGACCCCCTGATTTCATGTACTCGGAAAAAAAATCAACAACAGCAAGTTCTACTCGTGATGAAAACTAGCAAGTCTAGTTCCCTTCCGGTCTGGTTCTAATGCTCTTATGGGTCTCTTCCTCTCGGTTCTGCTGCTCTATTACTACTGGTTCCCTAACAGGCCCCAAAGACAGGAAGTTGCAGCCATCTCACTTTTGTGGTCACACAGGAACAAATCGCAAAGAGAGTTTGAGCAATACTCACGGGTGAATTCTCTGTGGAAGGTGTAGCTACAGCCCAGAAGTCGTAAAACTCTTTAAATTGAGGGCATAAACTGCATGAAGGTTTTTTTTGTTTGTTTTTTTTTGTAACTGTGAAACTGTTCATCTGCTGTCTTCATTTGATTGTAACATTTCATTTGCAGCTGTATTAAACATTTCCTTATTGTCTGAAAATTTCAAATAGCAAACAAGACATGTTGTTTATTTCTCGTTTTTAATATGCATAGGAAGTTTTATCAGGTTTGTTTGGATATGTAAGCGATAATGCACAGTCTGACAGTTATCATCTCAAAATAAATGACTTGCTTGTTTTAGTTTTTTTGGTATAATGGCCATCTGTTTTGTACATTATCTCGACTATTACACAGCTACTCACCAAATAAATAAATATGTGGACACGAAATGTTGAATGATGTTTTTTTTTTTTTAATGCTTTTATTTATTCTCGTTTTTAATATGCATAGGAAGTTTTATCAGGTTTGTTTGGATATGTAAGCGATAATGCACAGTCTGACAGTTATCATCTCAAAATAAATGACTTGCTTGTTTTAGTTTTTTTGGTATAATGGCCATCTGTTTGTACATTATCTCGACTATTACACAGCTACTCACCAAATAAATAAATATGTGGACACGAAATGTTGAATGATGTTTTTTTTTTTTTAATGCTTTTATTTGTTTATTGTCCTAAAGCTTTCACTATAAGAAAAATGTACAATGCACAACATCTTCAGCCTATTAACAAGACAAACACTGCAATATTATTACAATAATCTCATTCTCACTGCAACTGATAAATTGCCCATGAACAATGTCAGTATAGGAAGCAGAAAATATCAAGAATCAGGTGTTCCAGATATAAAATATAATAAAAACAGGCAGTAAAAGTGCACAGTGTTGCAAAGATATAAGAAGCCTGTATGACCTTGATTTTAACAAAGGTATTTTAGCAATCATGCTGTCATTTACAACATGCTGTTGTCTGCGACTTCAGATAGGGACTTGCCAAGCACAAAAACTATGTGCTTGGCTTATATCTGACTTCAGTGCTTGTGATGACATTTCATAATCTCTCATGTACGCATTTAGTTCTGCAACTGGGGCAAACCATTTGACAAAGATTCACATTAAGCAATCTCAGACAGCTTTCTGCAGTCTCCACTGGTTAAACACAGTTGCTCATTTTTGATAGTCTGGCCAGTTCCCACTATTGAAGTGAAGCGTCTGTCTCACATTGAACCTGAACATTACAGTATGCTAAACAGTGTCTGTAGAGGATGTGGGGTTTAATGTAACATAAAACGGAATCTTTAACAAGACATATCAGCAAATATCAAAAATCCTTAGATGATTCAAGTTTAGGATCAGAAATGAATAAAATCTTCGTTCCTACTACAAAGACTGAACAAGATTTTACTCATTTGTGTTTTACAAACATTAAAGGTCAAGCAGAACATCATCAGCAAAAAGAGCGACGAAAAAAGAAAACAAATTGCTGCATACAGCTGATTGCAAGGAATATGAGGTTAATAATGGTTCATGCACACTACATGTATGGTTATTATACTTAAATTATACTAAAAATTAGAGAACAACCTACAATTTCCAAAAGTTTCAAGGTCACTGCTTAGTCCTATTGGATTTGAAGCTATCCTAACAGGAGTAGAAGGGCAGTTTTTAAGCATGTTTCATAAATTAATTGTATTCTGAAACACAGTAAAAAAAACTTAAATGAGATATTTGAAAATAATTGACTAGAGAACACTTACAGATACCTCCAAGTTCTTGGTGTTAATCTGGCACCTGGTGCTACTTTATATGACAAACCTTATTTAACTGATAACATTCCTCCAATTTTCACTGAGATTACAAGATAGCGGGCCGCTCTAAGGTGACTGAAACCCTGCGAGGAGACGGCTATTGCAAGAGAGTTGGTCATTCCAAATCTGTGATTTCTCAAATATTGCAGCTTTACAATGACATTAGTCCCCCAAAAAGGCCACGTCCACGTAAGAAAAATGGATGAGAAGACAGGATAATGCGGAGACTCACCTTTGCTGTCGTTGTTGTGTGGAGAGAGGAGAACTGGTCCAAAGTTCACTTTAGTGATGAGAGCAAGTTTAATTTATTTGGGTCTGATGGGAAACATTTTGTTCGGCGTCAAACTGAGGAGAGACTGAAGCCCAAGTGTGTAAAGAAGTCAGTGAAAGGTGGAGGAGGAAATGTCATGGTTTGGGGGATGTTTTCTGCAGCAGGAGTTGGGCCTCTTATACAGATACATGGCAGGTGAATGCAAATGTTTATCAGAACCTCCTACAGCAACATGCTGTTTCTTCCCTGCAAGCATCTCCCAATCAGCCTGCAATTTTCATGCAAGACAATGCACCTGTCACACTGCAAAAGAGGTAAAGCAGTTCCTTGAAGCTAAGAACATTGAAATAATGAAATGGCCGGCCCAGAGTCCTGATCTCTGGAACATCCTTGGCAACAAAGTTATGGCTAAAAAAACACTACAGTTACTAAACTATTGAAGAGAGCAGAAGAAGAGTGGATCAAGATCACACCAGCGCAGTCTGAAAACTATGTCCTGTGGCCGCAGATGTGCTGAAGTCATTCAAAGCAAGGGCCTCTACACTTCCTACTAATTTCTGACAGCTGTAACCCCCCAAAATTTTAGTTGTAATTTTTTGTGCAACAGTGGTTACTGTTACTGTTTTACACAAAATAAAGTTTTTGGTTGAAATGCCTTGATTATTTTGTCAAACATGTTAGTATAGTGGTATACCTATACAGCTAATATTCCTTCAAATTTTGAGCGAAAAAGATATACATACATATTATTAATTTCAGCTATTTGCCAGGGAATCATTTTTTAAATTTTTGTTTAGTTTAACTTTATGTAATAAAATGAATTAATTAATGAACTAATTATTCATTAAAATTATATAGACATATCTGGGTGAAAAAAATGAATAAAATGTAACAAAACACAGTCACACACACACACACACACACACACACACACACACACACACACACACACACATATAATACATATAATAGTATCTTAAGGAAACACTGTAAACATATTATTTGTAAGGACACTAATAAGGAAGATTATTAGGGTTTATAACTTGCAACTTAAAATATCATGTTTTATCTTCTGTCATGGTGCAGTGAAAATATTCTGTTTTTCAATATGGTGATTTTAAAAGCTAGAAAGCAAAAAAGCTAGAAAGCATATTTTGTGACAACTGCTAACTTCAGGAAATTGCACATCAGATATATCTCTCACCCGATCTCTCTCTTTCCAGTAAAATCCACTTCTTCTCACAAATTCTTTACATTTTTCTCCACCCCCTTGTTTTAAAAACAAAATGTCTGTGCCACTGTTTGTCTAATAAAATTTTCAATTTCTGCTTGAGAGCATTTTTTATAGATAGAATTAGGAAGATAGAGCTTGTGGCATTTCAAATACAGGTATTTATTGTACTTAATAATTTGGTTTACTTTAAACCAATTCACAGGTAACTTTCATGAAAATGATTTGGGAAGATAATTGTATTTCCTCTCTTGTCCTCTGGAAATGCCTGCTTTTCATCATAGGAAATAAGAAAGCTGATTATGCCACAGGATGTGATTTTTCTCAAGACTGGTTTGGGGAATAACCACTAGACTCCATTTCTCAGTTTGCTTTGCGCACAGAATCAGGAAGGTAAGGGCGTCTGAATATACATCGTTTAACTTTTAACAGTTCTTGTTTTGATAAACATAAAAGTGTAAAGCAATCTGATGCAAAAAGCTCTGCCTCTTTACTCTGTGTGTGTCAGATGCAGTGATGGTGGGCGGCAGTGAGCGGCATGAGCTGATAGAGGATGAGAGGAGTTGGGTTACTGGGCATCTGCAGAAGGGGACTGAAATGATGGTGTATCAGCAGAGGGCTGAAAGACTCACTGTCCAGGTCATTATGGAGAGCATGCAGGTGGCCTTGATACGCTCTGACGACAGGATAGTCAGAGTGTGTAAGTCGCTTCCTTGAAAGTAGACTTGAATCAAATCAATAAATGAATGCTTTTTAAAATAGCAGTTATATTATTTTACTCTAATGTCTAAGAAAGTGGTCCTAAGTTCCTACTTACGCACTAATTCTGGCCTCAATTTCCAGAAGATATGCTTATGCAAGCACTGGTATTTATTCAAAGAAATACTAATGATATACTGTAGCTTATAAATTCGGTTTTGTATTTTACTACATCTGTGTTTATGTGTTCGCAGTGGACATTTTTGAGTTCAAGGAGGTTCGCCAGTGGGAGACTTTCAAAGATTTCCAGCGATTTAATGAGAGCAGGGGAAGTAAATTTCGACGAATCTTTTGCCAATCTGAAAAAGAGCTCCAGCAGGACAGCAAAACCTGTTTCACCATCTTCTATGGATCAGAGTTTATTTTAAAATCGCTGAGTCTAAAAGGTAACAAGTTCCTCACACATTTTAAGTTCACAATAAGGCAACAAGATGCTTATTTAGTAGGCTTGCATATAACAACTGTTATAGCTATACTAGCATTCAATGGTTTGGGGTCTGTAAGATTTTATTTTATTTTTTAAATACATTTTGTTAAGCAAGGATGCATTAAATTAATCTAAAGAAGATGTATATTACAAATAAACGCGGTTCTATTGAACTTTATATTTATTAAATAATCCTTTAAAAATGTTTTCCACACAAATATTAAGCAACACAACCGTTTTCAACATTAATAATGAATAAGAAATGTTTCTTAAGCACCAAATCAGCATATTAGAATGATTTCTGAAGGATCATGTCACACTGAAGCCTGGAGCAATGGCTGCTGAAAATTCAGCTTTGCCATCACAGGAATAAATTACATTTTAAAATATATTAAAATAGAAATGGCTATTTAAATTGTAATAATATTTCAGAATATTACTGTGTTTACTGTTTTTGATTAAACAATTGCAGCTTTGATGAGCATAAGAGACTTCTTTCAAAAATGTTCAGAAATCTTGACCCCAAACTTTCAAACCATAATAACAATGCTGTCCAAGCTAGTTCATGCTAGTTAATATGACAGCATATGCATATTTCCCACCAGCAAAACTTAACTAATGAAGCTGGTCTTTTTGGTTGACCAAAGAAGTCTTGCTGGTTAAGCTATAGCTAAAAAGGGACAGCAGTACAGTATCATCACCAACATCTAAAACATAACATATGCTGGTAAACAGCTATGCTAGCAATAGTACACTTACCAGAATGCTCCCAATGGAGCACCCTGAGGTTTCAAGTCTCAGTGTGGTGGACAATCATGACCATCTCACCATTTTGTCAATATGATAGTCTTGTTGTGCTTATTCTGTAAGAGCCTTTGCTGTTCCACAGCTGATT